AAAAAAAAAAAAAAAAGAAAGTCATCAAAAAAATCTGAAAAAAAGATATGATGTGGAGAAAAATAAATTAAACAAGATTTGCCTGAGCAGTACATCCGAATTCCTTACCAAATTTGAAATAAAAATAAAAAACAGAAAACAAATACTAATAATAAAAAAAACACAAATAAAAAGAGAATTAAATTTAGTGAGTGCGCGAGCATGTTTTCAACACCACCATCTTTGACGATTTTTCATTTTTGCTAAATGCCCTGAAATTTACAGATGTGTGCTTCACATAATACAAAACCCACTAAAAAAGTTTCAAAAAATAATAAAATTGTTTAGACCCCGAACTAAAGTGAAAACAAAAAGTAAAAAGTGAAAAAAATACGTTGGCGAGCATGTTTTGACTCCACCATCTTTGGCGATTTTTAATTCTTATTTGGCATAGCCAAATGACTTGAAGATTTACAGGCATGTACGTAATAGAGAACTCGCAAAAATAAAATCAGAAATAAATAATTATTTTTAGGCCCCGAAATAATTTTTGGCGGGGGCCGAACGCCGTCGGGTTCGGACCCCGTACGGGACCCCGAACGCCCGTCCGTACGGAGGTCTGCCCGGGAACCTCCGTATTTAGGGGCTGGTGACCCTGATTATTGTTGTGACGTTGTCAAGGATGAATAAAGCAAACCAATGTGATAACATATTTAATTAATTGAAAATTATGAATTATAATTTAACATAATTAAATTAAAATTAATTAATACATTTTTTTTATTATTAGTATTTATTACATTATTGAATGATTATTCTTAATTTCTTACCATGTCCAATGTTTTGTTAGGCCAGACAGAGTAAAACAAGAGGGCGTCGCCTTTCCTTGGCTTGACCAAGAGCCCCACGCAGTCCTGAAAATTATACTTCGGTTGGATGTTGAAATCCTGCAAGGGAAAAAAAGAATTGGGGGGGGGGAGGATAATTCAGCCCTCGCAACTTTATTTTTCACATGCAAGCACACGTGACTGAAACCCGACCAGATACAGGACGAGCAGTGAAAATATATTTTAAAATTCGGATATAACAAAAATCAGACAATGGTAGGTCAGCGGGACTCAGCATCAAGAAATACCTGCACAGGATCTGCACTCAATTTATTATTATTATTATTTTATTATTATTATTATTATTATTTTTTTAACTGGGATAATTAGCATTCCATTTTTTTTTTGCAGAATGTCACAGTCCTGCTGTGAGTATGTCGTTAGTGAAGCAGTTACCTGCGCAACACCCTCCCCC